TGGGGAGGGGGCCTGGGATCAGAGAGAAGCCCCTAGAACAAGGAGGGGGGCTGAGAGGGGGGAGGGGAGACCCAGGTTGGGGAGAGAACGCAAACTGGGAGGGCGCTTGAGAATGTCAGGGGGACTCGGATTTGGGGGTCAGTTCCCGGGTTGTCCTGGGAATGCGGAGACAATCCCAAGGTGGGGAGGGGGACGGGCTGGGGGTGGATCTCAGAATTGGGGAGGGGGCACTGGGAATCAAGGCTAAGGGAGGGCACCCTGACTTTAGAGAGAAGAAGAGGATACCCAGATGCTATATGGGGGGCTCCAGAACTGGGCATCCCAGTGTCCGAGCTGAGACACCCCAGGATTTTAAGTGGGGATTCCCAATTTGCAGATGAATGGAGGAATCCAGGCTGGACTGCTGCGGGGAGGGGGGCCCTCCAGATTAGCCTGAGTCCAATAGAAGGGGGTCTTCCCTGAGTGTGAATGGCCATGGGAAAGGGGCGCCCTACAGTCTCCCTCTCCTTTTGGCCCAGGTCCTGTCACCACATCCTGATTCAGGGAGGAGGCTCTGGGGGGCTCCATCCCAAGGTGGTCCCTGTTGTTCCCTCAGATCTGGAGTTGGGGTGGTGTCCCTTCTCCCAGAGAGCACACTGGGTCTCCCAGGTGAATGCTGGGTGTGAGTCCCCAAAAGCCCCCAGTTAGGATCCCCAGGACACGTGAGGGGCACCCAGTCCCAAGAGGGGGGCCGCTCCCAGCACCTCCAGATCTGACCGTGTCCTCACGGAGAGACACAGACACTTCCCTCACCCCTTCAGTTCGATCTGCCCACATAGACTCTTATGGAAGTACTGGCTTGGTTTGGGGGCACAGGCACTAGGAAGTAGGGGGCTGGGACCCCAGGCCCGGCCTAGGCAGGAGCGACCCCCATTTCTGTGCATGGGGCTTTGTTCCTCTCAGCAGCATTAATGGGAGACAGCCAGGATGAAGAGAGGGTTGGCGCTGGGCCCCAGCGGGGGACGTGGGGGAAGGGCAGAGAGGGAGGGGTGGGCAGATCGTGGGACCTCAGAACCCAGCAGCTTCACTGGCTCATGGACATTCCCAAATGGAAGGTGCCCCCGCCCCAGGAGGTGGGGGCTTTGTGTGTGTGTGTCGGTGTGTCTACCCCATGCTGAGAGAGGCTGTGTTCCCAACGAGGGTCTGGGTTCCTCTGTGAGTCTAATGTGACTGAGGTTGTGTCTTTGTCAGGAAACTTATGCCAGGGGCCACATCACCAGGTGGCAAAATGATGTGTGCCCGCCAGTCACCAAGGCCACATTTATCCAGCCTGGTCTGTGCCAGGGCTGGCATCACCATGTGTGAGTGTGTGTGAGGAACTGTGTCTGACGGTATAGCCTCATCGAGGGGTTTATGTGGAGAGCCTGAGACTGTGGGTGTGTGTCTTTGTGCAGAAGACGTGCTGCCTGCCTTGTAAGTGCCCATATTGTCTCTCTTTGTTAATGTCACTGTGAATCCGAGTGTGCGCGTGTGTCTCCCAGGCTCTGAGTCTGGGGTGTGTGGCTGCATGTACAGAAAGGAGGTCCTCTCCATGTGATTGGCGGTGTGGACCCTGAGCCTAGGGATGTGTGAGATATGATCTGTGTGCAGAGTTGGGGAGCTAATGGGGGAGACGCTGGGGCTCAGGTCCCCAAGGGGCAACCTGAGATGGTTTACTGAGCCTGGCTTCCGTTCTCCTCTGAGAAGTTCCACGATCATGCCCATGCACACGAATATGCCCAGACTCCAAGGCTAGAAACACACTCACGGCCCCTGCGGAGGGACACTTGGACCCACACATCCAGAGACCATAGTGGGTCTCCTATGCTCCACGCAGTGCACAGAGCTGCTGCAGACCGATGCACACATCTACACATCACAGGGCACAAGTTCACATCCATGCCTGGACACAGTATCCCGATGCACACCTAGGCACACACAAAAATGCCTGCTGGCAAACTCACCCACATTCAGTCCCCACTAAGACAGGAGGTGGGTATGAGGGAGGGACACACACACACACACACACACACACACACATACACACACACACACACACTCTCTCTCTCTCTCTCTCTCTCTCTCTCTCTCCTTCCGGACTGCCCCTCCTCCAAGGCCCCACAGGCCCCTGTTTGCATATGCATGAGGCTCATGCATTATTCATGAGGGGACGAGCCCCAGACAGCTGCGTAAATGCTCACCTCTGGCTGCTCTGGGGAGGAGGTATTTTAAGAGAAAGTGTGTGGGTGTGTGAGGGTGCAAGTGGAGGGAATAGAGTGCATCTGGGAGAGTGTGTGTGCAGGTGGGAGGGTGCACCTGAAACTGTCACTGTGTTGGATCACCTCTGTACATTTGCGTGTGTACATGAGGCTTTGTATACAAAAAGCTGATTTTTAATTTGACATTTCTAGCACTTCACAAGTCTTAGCTTGTTCCATCCTCACCATAACCATGAGGTACATGCTGGGTGATCCCCATTTTACAGATGGGGAAACAGGCATAGAGGATGAAGCAGCATGTCTGAGATCATACAACGTATGGAAAGTAGAGGCAGGGCTTTTTTTTTTAATGTAATTTCTGGACCTACCGTGGGGCTTGAACTCATGACCCTAAGATCAAGAGTCACATGCTCCTCCAACTGAGCTAGCCAGGCACGCCTGGATGTAGTCTGTACTTTTAGCCATACAGTGTGTGTGTGTGTGTGTGTGTGTGTGTGTGTGTGTGTGTGTGTTCGTGTTCTCTGAACTTGCCCCCTCCTAAGGTCCTCTTGGGGTAGGTGCAGTGTGGAGTCCTGCCCCACACGCTAATACCTTGCCAGACCTTGAACAGCCATCAGGGGACCCCACACTTGTTCAAGGTTCCAAGGTGGAGAAATGAGGACAGCCTGGAATGGAGACAGAAGTTGCTGAGGTTTATGGGTTGGTAGTTGGGGGCACCATCGCAGGGATGGACTCTGCCCTGCTGTGCAGCCCTAGGCAAACCACTAACCCTCTCTGGGCCAGAGGCGCTGCCAGAGGAAGGCAAGGAGACCAAGTGTGCAGTGTCCCCGCATCGTCTCGCTAGAGTTCAGCACCACGGATAGGTCCCTGGCTGGCCTCCCAGTAGGGCCTCTGGGAGCTAGGAAAGGGCATTGGGGATGGGATGAGCTGTCCTCCACAGCCCCATTCTGGCTCTATCTACACTCCCCTTCTCAGGGCTATTCTTTTTATTGAGGTAAGGGTGCAAGATCTGGGTTTATAGAGGATGCTCTAACTTGCCATCTGTCCCCACCTCCTGAGCCCCAGTAAGGGGAGTGGTACAGAGGGCTGGGAGACATTGGGGAGGGACTGCCTCTCCAGGGTTTCTGGTCTCTGGAAGAATGTGAAGACTGGGAGGGCACTGCTGTGTCTCAGTACCTGGATTGGGCCTTACTTATAGTTGGCACTCAATAATTGTCCATTTTATGCCTGAGGGCCACAACCCCTAGAGAAGGCTGGACCCACAACTGGAGTTTCTCTGTGGACCTAGGAGGCATCTTTGCTAGGCGGTATGAAGTCAGGAAGAGGGTGAGGTGGGCAGGGGTGAGGCCCCTTCCTCCAGCTGGGACTTGGCAGCTTCTCAAAAATCCCAGAAACCAAGAATAGAATCTTGGCGACAACCAAATCCTGGAACTGAAGCTGAGAATCGTGTCAGTCAGGAAACCCAGATTAAAGGCTGGGTTGGAGGCCAGCCTACTGTCAGGACTGGGGACCCCAGGCAGACTGGGACTGGTTGCTGCCTTCTGGGAGCCCCCAGTCTCATGGGCAAGGCCAACCTGAAAAATGGGATTTTTATCTTGGCTGTGTTAAGGTCAATAATAATAATAACAGCTCAGGGGAGCCTGGCTGGCTCAGTTGGAAGAGCATGTGGCTCTTGATCTTGTGGTCATGAGTTTGAGTCCCACTTGGGTGTAGAAATCACTTTAAAAATAAATATTTTATTTTATTAAAGATTTTATTTATTTTAGAAAAAGAGAACATGAGTGGGGGGTGGGGAGGGGTGGAGGGAGAGGGAGAAGCTGATTCCCCACTGAGCAGGGAGCCTGACATGGGGCCCAATCCCAGGACCCCAAGATCATGACCCAAGCCAAAAGCAGACACTTAACCAACTGAGCCACCCAGGCACCCCAAATAAATAATTTTTTAAAATAATAATTTTAAAGCCCACATTGGGCTCCCTGCTGGGCGGGGAGCCTGCTTCTCCCTCTCCCTCTGCCTGCTCCTTCCCCAGCTTGTACGCTCTCTCTCTCTCTGTCAAAAATAAATAAAATCTTAAAAAAATAACAATAATAACAACAACTCAAACTTACTCCTTCACGCCAGGCAATTGTAGGCATTTTATTATTTATTTATTTATTTATTTATTTTAAAGATTTTATTTATTTATTTGACAGAGAGAGAACAAGCGAGTGCACACAAGCAGGGGGGAGTGGCAGGCAGAGGGAGAGGGAGAAGCAGGCTCCCTGCAGAGCTCGATCGGGGCTTGATCCCAGGACCCTGGGATCATGACCTGAGCCGAAGGCAGATGCTTAACTGACTGAGCCACCCAGGCGCCCCAGTTCTAGGCATTTTGTATGTATTGACTATACTTACGCATCTATTCCTTCCAACTACCTGATGTTATCCCTATCTAACCTACAAAGAAACCAAGGCACAGAGAAGCTAATCCACTTTTTCCAGGTCACACAGCAAGGAACAGGCAGAGAGACAAACCCAGGTCTGATTCACTCCAGCACCCATGCTTCTGACTGTGAGACTTGACTGTTGGGATTCTGAAGTCAGCTGGTCCTGGGTTTAGATCCTGGCTCAGCCCTTGCTTGCTGACTGTGTGACCTTGAGTGACACGCTAGCCTCTCTGAGCCCCGCTTTCCAGATCTGTAGAGTGGGGGACTTGGCCCTCCCACACTGACTGCCTGGGAGGGTAATACTCACTCCCATTCTCTCTCTCTCTCCATCTTGTTCCAGGTCCAGGATGGGGGCCATGTCTGTCTGGGCCTCGGGCCTCCTGATGCTCCAGATGCTGCTGTTTGTGGCTGGGGAACAGAGTGAGTTGGCTTGTAGGGTGGGAGAAGGTTGGGTTCTGGGGTACTGACAAGATGGGGAAGCTTTTTAACTCTAGAGCCTTCTCCTGCTGGCTCTCTGGCTTGGTCTGGAGAATAAAATGAGAATAGATGAAAAAGGTCTTTGAACAGTCAAAAGCGAACAAGACACCTGAGAGGTTATTTTTAGTCATTGCCAGCGGAGGATGGAGGTTCCTGCCTCTCACTGTTTTGCTGAGATGAGCTGGAGAGAGAGAGAGAGGAAAAAAAAATGATAATAGCGCAGAGATTGATTAGTGATGCCTGCCATGGGTGGGGCAATAGAAATAAGGTCTGTGTGACTTTCCCTGGTATCTCCCCAGTGGTGGTTAAAAGCCCAGGCATTAGAAATGCCTCCTGATTTGCTCTGTGGTCTTAGGCAAGTACAGTGATGTGTCTGAACTCAGTTTCCTCAACTCCCCCAAAACATGATGAGACATGGCTACCTCTGCCTATGGTTATGAAAATCAAATGAGCTGATTGCTATGTATAAGATGCCCATTATATAGAAGGTACTCTGCAAACACAAACATTTCCCTTCTAATGGCTTCCTCTTACTTAACTTTTGAGGAAACTGTGACTCAGAGAAGGACAGTGACTTTCTCATGGCCACACAGTGAGTCAGTGACAGAGAGTCAAATCCCTGGCAGCCAAGATCTGGATTTTGAGTGGAGGCAGAACTATGACGGGATCTGACCCTATTACTCCTCTTTTGCTCACAGACTGGGGTGCACATCACATATCCATTGACTGCATTATGATGTTGTAGGCAACCTACCCTCTCTGGCTTTAGTCTCCCTATCTGTAAAGTGAGGGAAAGAGCAGTTTCTGCTGGTCCCTGTCTTTGAGTCAGGTCCTCTTTCCACGTTCTCCACTCCAGGCACCCATGACGTCTCTGCTGCTGCCTCCGCCACCATCGACAAGGGGCTCCACATGCAGAAGGTGGGGTCGGGGTTGGTTCGGGCCGCGTTGGCAGAGCTGGTAGCCCTGCCCTGTCTCTTCACCCTGCGGCCATGGCCAGGTGCAGCCCGAGAAGCCCCTCGAATCAAGTGGACCAAGGTGCGGACTGCATCGGGCCAGCGGCAGGACTTGCCCATCCTGGTGGCCAAGGACAATGTGGTTCGAGTGGCCAAGGGCTGGCAGGGACGCGTGTCACTGCCTGCCTACCCCCGGCACCGGGCCAACGCGACGCTACTACTGGGACCACTGAGGGCCAGTGACTCTGGACTCTACCGCTGCCAGGTGGTGAGAGGCATCGAGGATGAGCAGGACCTGGTGCCCCTGGAGGTGACAGGTCAGTTGAGGGTAGGGGAGACGACAAGGTTGGGGAGGGGAGGGGCTGAGCCAGAAGCTCACCCACAGAATGTCACCTTAGAGAGCACTCCCTGAACAATGATTCCCTTTCGATTCTTCTTCTTCTTTTTTTTTTTTTAAGATTTTATTTATTTGACAGAGAGAGACACAGCGAGAGAGGGAACACAAGCAGGGGGAGTGGGAGAGAGATAAGCAGGCTTCCCGCGGAGCAAAGAGCCCAATGCGGGGCTTGATCCCAGGACCCTGGGATCATGACCTGAGCCGAAGGCAGATGCTTAATGACTGAGCCACACAGGCACCCCCCTTTCAATTCTTCTGATAAAGTCCCAAAGAAAGTCTCCTCTAGGACTACCTTTTTTTTTTTTTTTAAGATTTTATTTTATTTATTTGAGGCAGAGAGAGAGAGAGAGCACAAGAGGGCGTAGGGTGAGAGGGAGAAGCAGACTCCCTGCTGAGCAGGGAGCCTGATGCGGGACTTGATCCCAGGACTCTGGGATCATGACCCGAGCTGAAGGCAGTTGCTTAACCAACTGAGCCACCCAGGCGCCCCAGGACTACCCTTTCTATAACACTTCTATCTTACCTAAGAGAGAGCAACTTCTGGCTCAGTCTCTTGTGGGCCACAGTATTTTACAGGCTTTTAGAACTTTAAGTCCCTTTCATGGTTACCTACTTTCCCATAAGACAAAGGATATTGACTTTCTATTTGAAATAGGAATATACATTTCCTTTTATAATAATTTTTTAATACAATAAAATAAATTTATGTTTTAAAGAGTGAAGTTTTCTTTCTGAAGTCGATTGAAAAAATATATTAAGTAAATAACAGTACTCAAATACCTGTTTAACCAACTCCTGTATTAAATTCCTTCTGTTGAAATATCCAGTGTTTCTCTTTTCCTAACTGATCAAGGTGAACAAAACAAAACAAAAAATTTTTTTGATTATTAAAGCAAAGTCCGGGGCGCCTGAGTGGCCGCTGGTTAAGCGACTGCCTTCGGCTCAGGTCATGATCCTGGAGTCCCGGGATCGAGTCCCACATCAGGGTGCCTGTTCAGCAGGGAGTCTGCTTCTCCCTCTGACCCTCCCCTCTTTCATGCTCTCTCTATCTCATTCTCTCTCTCAAATAAATAAATAAAATCCTTAAAAAAATAAAATAAAATAAAGCAAAGTCCTAGAAAAGGGTGTGGCACGGTAGATGCACAAAAGGTAATTGACAAAGGACTCAGTGAATGATTATTGTGTGGAAAACATCCTGTGGATTCTTGCTGGGAAGTTGATTTCCCTTAACCTTCTTTGGCCATGGGCAAATCGCTGCACCCCCAGTCTTCCCCCACCCACAATATCTCACTGCATATTTTATGGGGTCAGCCAACTATCCCTTTTCCAAGGCCTTGCTGATCAAAACTGATAAAGCTTGAAGAAAACTGGTAAATGATAAAGGAAGTAAATTCCTCCTCTGGGCTTGTTCAATTGATTCATTCAATTAAACATTTATTGAGCACCTACCATATGCTAGTCTGGTGCTGGGGATATTATCAAAACTGAGATGCAACTGTTGCCTTCCAGGAACTCTGATAAAATAGAATGTTTCATTCCTTTGTCTTGCTCAGACATTTCTTTCATCCCTAAATCAGAATTTCAGTAACAGTGAGCCCATTATTGATGTTTCACATCCTGACTTGCATGTCACCTCCTCCAGTAAGTCTTCCATGACTCCATTTCCAGGCGGAGCGAGAAACACTTGATCTCCCATTGCCCCCTGGGCTTCCTCTATCAGTGCATGTACTTAATCCTTTTTCCTTTTTTTTTAAATTTTATTTTTAAGTAATTTCCACACCCAATGTGGGGCTTGAACTCACAACCCCGAGGTCAAGTTGCGTGGTCAACCAACTGAGCCAGCCAGGTGCCCCAGCATGTACTTATTTCTTACAAGGCAGAATTTCTCTCACTCTTCTCCATGCCTCCATGCCTCCTGTCACCTCCAGGGTCTAAACCTGGGCATGGAGAGTGCTATCTTTGGAGTCAGATCATCCTGGATATGAGTTTTGGCTGTGCCTCATACTGGCTCTGTGGAACTGGCCATGTCCCTTAACTTCTCTTAGCCTTAGTTTTCTCCTCTGGAAATGGGAATAATCATAGTGTTGATTCTATATTCTATAATCATAGTAAGATTTCAATGAGATCATACTTATAAATGCTTTTTTTTAAAGATTTTTTTATTTATTTGAGAGAGAGAATGAGATAGAGAGAGCATGAGAGGGGGGAGGGACAGAGGGAGAAGCAGGCTCCCCGCCGAGCAGGGAGCCCAATGCGGGACTCAATCCCAGGACTCCAGGATCATGACCTGAGCCGAAGGCAGTCCCCCAACCAACTGAGCCACCCAGGCGCCCCACTTATAAATGCTTTTTACATGGTAAACATTTGACAAATTGTAGCCCTTTATGGCCATTGTTATCAGTTTCCTTATCGAAAAATGGGGGCATATCAGTCTGGCATGGTACAGGGCAGCATAGCGGAGCAGGTCTATTATTATCAAACTGGGGGAAGGGGCATTCTGCAAGAGGGAGGTCTGTTCTTGAAGATTCCAGCATACATCAGCCTCTATCCTGGATGTTCCCCCACAGGTGTTGTGTTCCACTACCGGGCAGCTCAGGATCGCTATGCACTGACCTTCGCAGAGGCCCAGGAGGCCTGCCGTCTCAGCTCGGCCACCATTGCAGCCCCACGGCACCTGCAGGCTGCCTTTGAAGATGGCTTTGACAACTGTGATGCGGGGTGGCTCTCTGACCGCACTGTTCGGTGAGGGGGCACACAGGGTTGGGACATGGAGACCTAGCCTCTGGGGAAAGATGGTCATTGGGGGCCCCAGGCACACACATTTGAGAGGGACCCCCTCCTTGTCTTATCAGGTATCCTATCACCCAGTCCCGTCCTGGTTGCTATGGCGACCGTAGCAGCCTTCCAGGGGTGCGGAGCTATGGCAGGCGGGACCCACAGGAACTCTACGATGTGTACTGCTTTGCCCGTGAGCTGGGGGGTAAGTCTGGGGCTGGCAGGACACCCCCACCGCACTTCCCTGAGCCCCGGTTACCTCCCCAACCCCCACGCCTCCTTAGGGCTCTCTTAAGTCTCATCCCTCTCTAAACCTGCAGCCAATATCTGGGCTCACCCTTCTCTGAGCTTTCCTTCCCTCCGGGAGCCCCTCTCCTTCCCTGTGCCCCTTCCTTCCCTCTCTCTGAGACCCTGTCCCTTCTCTGAGCCTCTCCCCCTCCCTGGCCCCTCTCCCTCTTCTTACCCTCCTCTTCGTCTCTGAGGGCCCCTCGCTAAGCCCCTCCGTTTCTCTGAAGCCCAACACACTCAAGGGCCTGAGTTACCTTATTCGTAAAAAGAAGCTAAGGCCCTCCTCTTAGCACTGCGTGAGAGGTAAAGACTTCGACGGGTCGGGGTGAGCACAGCTGTGGCTGTCGCCGCCTGGTTTAGCCACCACCCAAACCCGGCCAGGCTGGGGTTTAGAGTGGGACCCCCTTCCCGGGGTTCCGGGGGAGGATCCCCCAGGCCCGCGTGACGTTCGCCCGCGCCTTCCCGCAGGCGAGGTCTTCTATGTGGGCCCGGCCCGCCGCCTGACACTGGCCGGCGCGCGTGCCCAGTGCCGCCGCCAGGGCGCCGCGCTAGCCTCGGTGGGACAGCTGCACTTGGCCTGGCACGAGGGCCTGGACCAGTGCGACCCGGGCTGGCTGGCCGATGGCAGCGTGCGTTACCCGATCCAGACGCCGCGCCGGCGCTGCGGGGGCCCAGCCCCGGGCGTGCGCACAGTCTACCGTTTCGCCAACCGCACCGGCTTCCCGGCGCCCGGAGAGCGCTTCGATGCCTACTGCTTCCGAGGTGCGTGTAAGGGCACGCCCCGAGGTTACACACCCTGGTCAAGGCCACGCCCCTGGGAATTTTGCTTTCTAGTGGAGGCGGAGCCCAGACGGAGGAGAGACTCTTGGAAACCTCTGCGATAAGCCACGCCCTCGGGTGAAGGCCACGCCCCCAGTGCTGACCTTTCCCTAGGAGCCCCGTCCTGGGGGTAGGACCGCGGCCGGAGAAAGCCAAGCTCTGGCGGGAAAGTTCTGTTTAGGGGGTGGGCTATATCTCTTGAGGTCGCTGAATGACACGCTCCTGGGTGGAACATATTTTAGCTGGAGGCTTGTGCATAAGTATCCCCTGGGGAGGAAGTGCTGCCTTGATTAGCCATGGCCCCTGGGCAAGGCCACACCTCCAGGGACTAGGGAGGACCCTAGTCCTTGGAGGGGGACCAAAGCTTCAGAAGCAGCAAACCTGACTCCAAGGACCTAAGTCTAATGTGCAAGGGGGGAAAAATTCCCTTTGTAGGAAGGCCACACTCATTAGGAGCTTCCTCTCCCCAGAGGGGGAGCCATCGCCCAGGCCTGATCTTCTCCCATGAGAATTGGCCACTGCCTGAGCTTTACCCAGGAGCCAGGCTGTCTCTTGACCCCTTACTATGACCAGTTGACTGACCTTGACAGTGGGCCCCAGCCTGAATAGTGGGAGTGATAACTTCGCACCCCCCTCTCTCAGTCTGGGAGATCCCAGAAACCGCCCAGAAGTTTCAGACAGAGGGGCACAGAGAGACAGAGATATACAGAGGTCTGTGCTACAGCATGCTGGAGTGGGGGTAGACTTCAGGTGGAACTTCCCAGCCAGCCCCGGACCTGACACAACCTTTTCGGCTTTCTCCCACAGCTCATCACCCTACACCACATCAACATGGAGACCCAGAGACCCCCTCGTCTGGGGATGAGGGGGAGATTCTGTCCGCAGAAGGGCCCCCAGCCCAAGAACTGGAGCCCAGCATTAGGGAGGAGATGGTCACCCCTGACTTCCAGGAGCCTCTCGTGTCCAGTGGGGAGGAAGAACCTCTGATTTTGGCAGGGAAGCAGGAGTCTCAGGAGACCCCCAGCCCTGCCCCTGGAGGCTTCACGCTAGCCTCAAGGCCCTCCCTGGAGGCTGAAGAGGTGTGGCTGAGCACAGCGGCCCCCAGCTCCAGCAGTCCTAGCACTGCAGTGGGCACACACACGGAGGCAACTCCAACTGGCCCCATACCCAGGAGGAGGGGACGCTTTAAAGGGTTGAACGGCCGCCACTTCCAGCAGCAGGAACCCCAGCAAGGCCTGGAGATGGGGCTTGAGGCCGGCACCCAGCCCCCAACTCCAGAGGCTGCTGGGAATCACGTGGAGCCTCCGCTGGCCACGGGAGCCACAGATGCCTCAGGGAGTAGCCGGAGCCAAAGCCCCTGGGCCATGCTGACCAATGAGGTGGATGTGCCTGAAGCTGGTGAGTGGGGTCCCAGGGGGGAGGTGCGACCTGCCTGGGGGTCTGATGGGGACGCGGGAAGAGGCTCCAAATCCCAGCTGAGTCCCCAGGCCTCCCCTAGCCTCAGAAGCCCCCTCTTCCTTGGGCCTGGAGCCAAGGGGACTCAACAGAAGGAACTGCTAAGAGATAATTCGAATTACTCTTGTTGATATTGTTGCAGGTTCCCCTGGTGGCAAGAGCCCCCCAGAGCCCTGGCTGTGGCCCCCAACTGTGGTCCCACCCAGCATCCCAGGCCCCAGCAGGGTCCTTGATCTGAAACTAGAGGAAGCCAAGGGCCCCAGTGTGAGGCCAGCCACTCCTGACCTGCCCTTGTCCCCCTCAGAGGCCACCTTCCTGGCACCTGGCCCCTCAGAAGGCCCCAGCATTGCCTCCTGGGAGGTATCCCCCATGGTCTCTTCCCCAGACCTACCTATCATGGCCATGCTGCGGGCCCCAAAACTGTGGGTACATCCACACCCTACGTCCCTCCCCACGCAGGCCGACAGGGTCACGGGGCATAGTGAGGCCATGGCCACTGGCCCACCCTCTCCCGCCTCAGAGACTGAGGCTGTCCCCCAGGACCCCATCCATCTAGAGGTGCATTCCCTGTCCCTCTCCTCAGTCCCAACAGGACAGGGTAGAGAGGCCACATCCCCAACAGTTGGCAGCCACAGAGCAGGACGTCCAGTAGCTTCTTCGCAGACAGCCACAGACACACAAGCTGGAGCCAGTCCTAACCATCCCAGGGCAAACTTCGGAGAAACTGGGGGGACCAGCCCTACTGGGCTCAGCAAAGCTGAGCTCCCCAGATCCAGCCCACAAGCTTCTGTGGACAGGGATGTGGCAGAAGATTTCACCCCCACTGAGACAACCACTGAGCCCACAGGAGTGAGAGACATCTCAGAGTCTGGGTCTGGGGTCGTCAGCACAGCGGAAAGCTCCAGTTCCAGCTCTCAGGCCACCGTGGACGAGGCACAGGGCACGTGGCCCTCATTGCACAGTGAAGGGCTGGACTCCCACCCTCCATCTGCACCCTCAGGGGGCCCCAGAGTCTTCTTAATCCCTGGGGTCACCCCGAGTTCAGAGTCTTGGGCTGCTATAAATGGAGAAGCCATGTTGGGGCCCACGGATTCCACAGCCACACTGGACGCCAGTGTTGCTGGTGGGATTTGGGAACATGGATCCCACGGGGTTGAGGGAGCCGAAAGCCCCACCTTGAGCCCTCAAGTGGCTGTGGATTCAAGCATGGTGATGTCCCTCTTGTCCCTGGACCAGGGGGACAAGGTTGGGGTCCTGGCCATGTCCACAGTGGCCTCCTCAAGCTCCCAACCCCATCCAGAACCAGAGGGCCAGACGGTGACCCCGGGAACCCTGGGAGCCTTGGCCCCTTCACATGAGAGCAGCCCCCGGGGGGAGCCTGTTTTTCCTTCTTGGACACCGACGGCTGTCAGCGTTGACAAGCCTGCCTCAGTTTCCTCAGGAGAGCCTACAGTGCCGGGAGACTCCCCCAGCACCCCTCCGCCTGCCTCTCTGGGCCCAGAGGAGTTTGAGCTGGAGGTCCTGGCAGGGAGCCCAGGTGTGGAGGGCTTCTGGGAGGAGGCAGCGAGTGGAGAAGAGCCGACCCTGCCAGGGACCCCTGCAAATGGGAGTGCAGAAGAGGGTGAGTTCAAAGCTTGTGACCTCATCCAGCCCACTGTGGTCAGGGCTTGGGGACAAGGGGCTGGGGAGCGCAGCGCCGAGAGGGAGGGTTATTCATGGGCCCCCCCCGGGGAGGTTTCTAAGAGGGGATGATGTTGGAGGTGGGAGCTCTTTAGGCAGAGTTGAATTGCGGAAAGTGTGTTCCTGGAAGAGGCACCAGCTGGGCAAAGGCCAGGAGGTGAAGTTGGACCTTTGTTTTGATGCACAGTGAGTAATGGGGGAATGATGAGGCATTGGATGGAGTTTGAGTTGGGGGATGAGTCCAGTCAACAAATCATGCTTATGTCCATGCTGAGCTAGACAGTTCTGTGAGATACTGGGGTCTGGCCTTTAGGGACACCTCAGTCTGGGAAGACAGAGGTGGACATAGATATGCCCAGGTGGGGCTGGAGGGAGGAGGCGTGGCAGGAAGGGCTTTTTGTTCAAGTGGGAATTGCAAGTGGAATTCAGTGGTGCGGATGGGATCGTAGGGGCCCCTGAGCCACAGGGAAAATGGGTACTGGGGAGAGGCAGAAGGGGTGGGCATCTGCCCCATTTTATAGAGAGCAAAAGAAGGCTTAGGGAAGTATGCCTGCCTCCTAGTCAGTGGCCAGACTTCAATCAGAGCCCAAGTCTGTGAAAGCCTTAACTGCCCTCTGTCCAGTGGAGTCCAGAAAAAGCCGAATGCCCTGTTCTGGGGCCAGGTCTGCCTGCCAGCTCAGCCTGCAAATGCTGGCGCTTTTTTTTTTTTTCTTTTTTGTCAATTGAGCTTTAAAAAAAAAAAGAAGCAGCAGCTAATTAAAAGACACTTTTTTTTCTGAGTTGCAAAACACCCTTATTAACACAATTGGTTTTACACTTGCTCCTTTTTTTTGAAGGCAAAGTGTGGCGACGCCGCAAACAGTGGATGCAGGTTTTCATCTTCCACTCTCTGTCACCTCTGGGCTGTGTCCAGGACTGCATCCTCTTTTCTCAGATGCCTGAGAGGCAAGCGGATTCTGGGCAGGGGCGCAAGCATCAATAAAGGCTGATGCTTATTGGTGCCTGCTGCATGCTTGGCTTGCTCTGAGCACTTTACTGGAATCAACTTGGTTAATCCTTATAATGTCCATGTGGAACAAGTCCTAGCAAGATCCTCACTTTACAGATGGAGAGATTGAGGCACAGGGAAGTCAGGTGACTTGAGCGGAATCATGCAGCTGAGGAGCGTAAATGATAAGATTTGAATCCAGGCCATCTGACAACAGTGTGTCTCGAACACTAGGTCGTACAATGCATATTTCATTGGTGTCAGAAAAAACAAACACCCAGGGTCTTGGGGAAGGGGTGAGCTCACCCAGGGAAGGAGTAGAGAAGAGACTGGTGGTGGGAGATGGGCAGAAGGAAGGAGGCTCAAAGCCAAAGGAGCTAGAGAAGGGGATGCTCAGAGAGGTAGGAGGGAAAACCATGGCTAGGGATGCTAAGAAAAGTGCTTTGGGTGTAGCCCCCAAGACCACAGCTGCGTCTGTCTTGGACTCTGTTGGTTTCTTGGCTCCAGACTGAAGGCAGCAGCAGCCTGGGTGGAGGGAGGCAGCCAGCGCTGGGGGAGACCCAAGCGCCTACCCGCCCGCCCGCTTGTAGCAGAAATGCTAATGAAGCCAAAAATAAACGCAGCGCCAGTGAGCGACTGAGTCACCGCCAGCCCGTGGGTAGGTGTCAGCAGCTCACGGCACCTGGTGGGGCTCACGCGTCCCAGCGCCCGGCAGCCCCATGCGTGTGCACACACGTGCTGGGGTGGTACCAGGGACGGATACAGCCAGCCACAGGCCCCTCTGGCCATCCATGGGGACACCTGCCATCACCCCGCGGACAGGTGTCAGCCACTACAGAAGGACCAGCAGCTACTTCCATTCAGCTAACAAGCAATTAGTGAGTGCCTGCTGTGTTTCAGGCCCCATCTGGAGACCAAGTCCCTTGTCCCCTGGAAGCTGACATTCTAGGGCGACATTCTAGAACTTTCCCAATGATGGAAATGTTCCTGGAGCTGTGCTGTCTAATATGGTAGCAACCGGCCACGTGTGGTTACTGAGTCCTTGAAATGTGGTTCGTGTGACTGAGAAACTGCGTTTTTACTTTCATTCCAATTTAATTTAAACTTAGATAACTATATGTGGCTGCCATGTGGAGCACCGCTGCTCTGGGGGAAGGCGGAGACAAGTAACAGTGGTCCTAGTAAATAAGCAAATTATATTGGAGGCTAGAAAGTGATATGGGCAAAAGAGAAAAGTAAAGCAAAGGGTGGGGGATGCCAGTGGGAGTTTTCTAGTTGTGGAAGGGAGGGCTCAGAAAGGCCTCTCTAACCGGAGGAAATTTGAGCAAGCTGGAAGGAGGTGAAGCAAGAGCCATGCAGAGATCTAGGGGAAGAGCATTCCAGGCAGAGGGAATGACCTGTACAAAGACCCTGAGGTCGATCCCTGCCTGGCATGTAGTAGGAACAGCAAAGCCAGTGTGGCTGGAGCAGAGTGAGCCAGGGGATGAGAGGAGGAGGGAGGGCAGGCAGATGTTGGGAAAAATCACACAGGGCCCTGTGGGCTGCAGTGAGGACTTTGGCTTTTCCTCTGAGGGTAACGGGGAGCCATGGAGGGACCTAGGCAGAGGAGGGACATGACCTGACTCAGGTTTACATAAGCTATCTCTGTCGGCTATGGGGAGAACAGCCTGTGGAGGGTGACAGCAGAGATCAGACCAGGAAGGAAGCAACTGCTTATTACCATCTCAGTTTCTTGTGAGGCCCTGGACCAGGCAAAAACAGAAACAAATTTTAGGTTATAGGGGCCAGAGAGAGGGCCTTAAACTGGACTTCCAGAGCCTTGGAGGCCAGTGTTGGTTCTTGTACTGTTCTGCTGTGTGACTTTAAGCCAGGCGCTGCTCTTCTCTGGGCCATGGTTCTAGTATCTGCAGTGGAAGATGGCATGCTGCCCTGACAAGGGATGGGGGTCGGCCTGGGATAGGATAAGAATTCTTGCTCTGCCCCTCCCAGGCCCCAGGGTGGAGACCACCCACCAAGGCATCTGGGCCTCAGAGAGGCAGAGGGGAGACTTAGCTGCCTCCAGGGAAACCCAGCTGATGGGGGGAAATGGTGGGGGAGGCAGACAAGGACACCTATTCCTCAGTGCTCCTGAGTGTCTAGTCCAAACCGAGCGAGCAATGCTGAGACCCCTCAAGACCCAAGGTGCCAGGTTGATATAGATGTGGCATTATGGTCGGGACTGGGAGAGGGATGAATTGTTTTTATTTCTATTTTGTAGATGAGGCAACTGAAATTCAGAGAAGTAATTCGTCCAGAGTCCCTAGTGAGTGGCAGAGCCAGGGATTAAACTAACCTCTCTGATTCCAGAGCCCATGGCTATAACTATTATAATCCACCACCTCTCTATACTATAACGACTGAGGTTGCATCAAAAAAGATTGAGCCACCAGAATGAGGGAAGTGATGATTCCCACTGTTGCTAGTGTTGCTCATACCCCACTTGGGACCTTATGTCCACCTCTGTGCTCCAAACTTCAAGAAGTACAATGACCATCAGGGCATGTCCAGAAGAGAGGGACAAGTCAGGGAGGCACTTACACCCATGTTTCAGGAGACTTCCAAAAAGAAACTTTTTTTTTTTTTTTAAGATTTTATTTATTCATTTGTGAGAGACAGAGGGAGAGAGAGATAGAGAGAGAAGCAGGCTCCCAAGGAGCAGGGAGCCCAATGCGGGACCCGATCCCAGGACCCTGGGATCATGACCTGAGCCGAAGGCAGACGCTTAACCATCTGAGCCACCCAGGCGCCCCCCAAAAAGAAACTTCAGGAAGCCCATTGCAGTTCAGTTAGTTTGCATAAGCAGAGTGGCCCACAGATGCTCTGGGCAGTTCCTGAGGGGACTAAACTCATCACAGGAGTGTGCAAGAGGAAATTGGTAGCTGCCTACTAGAAGTTATAGAGGGGACTCCACAGAGAGGGTTTTGGGGAGTCTTAGGTCTGGATTCTGGGACGGCAGACAACATGGTGGCCTGCCTCCTCTCCACACTGCCTGTCCATCCTGCAGCCCCCTTGGATCCGTGCGAAAACAACCCGTGCCTGCACGGAGGCACCTGTAAAGCCAACGGCACCATGTATGGCTGTAGCTGTGACCAGGGCTTCGCCGGGGAGAACTGTGAGATTGGTGAGTGCCCCGGGCTCAGGGTCGGAACCTAGACTTGCTTGAATCCGAGCCCTGATGTCTGCCCCAGCGGACATCCCCATGAGGACTCAGGGATAACAAAATGCTGGCTTCGGGTGCTCCCTTTCCCCTGCCCCGTCCTTGGATCCAGTAAATAAGCCCCAGTGAGCTGAACCAGCACCAAACAGCTGAGCTTTCGTCCTGCGGACCAAGGCTCAGGTGCGCTGCCTCCCATTCCTACCAGGTAGGGATGAGAGGGGAAGACAAATCATAAGGCTCAGACTCCTCCCAGACCCAAGGGGGCTCTTCTTAGCCCCAAAGCCCAACACAGGAACTACGACAAATTATGAAACTTTAACAATAAATATAAATGATATCAGTCTTGAGCTCTGCACATTACCTCACTGACTTCACAACCACACTACTAATTATAGAATTATAACAATAAATATAAGCAAGGTAATTTCTTGAGCTCTTCCATTGACCCTCCACTTATAACCACCCTTGGGAAGGTGCTATTTTTATCATCACTTCGCAAAAATTAAAATGAGTCCCAGGGAGGGGAAGTGACTTGCCCAAGTCATACAAATCTCAGGCGCTGTCTACACAGGAATTGCGAGGAGAGCTCAAATGATATCTAGTTCCACCTACAAACAGCATCCTGCCTCTGCGCATGTCCTTGCAAATGCCCTGGAACTCGGTGTCCCTGAGTTCCACATTCCGGAAAGACCTCCATCTTCGACATTCCGTGAGTCTGTTTGCCAGAGTATAACCTTCAGTGTTCTGAAGTCCAGTGGAACATGCCACACACCCTGGCTCTCAGGCTGGCCCAGTGGCATCTGCTCTCATTAATGGTAATTCATGTTAATTGTATGAGGTTCCATCCCCCTTGACCTCCAGAGTCATTGGGCCAGCTCTGCAGACCACCATTGCTTTACTCAGGGGCCAGGATGGATGGTAGGATCATGACCTCATCTTCTGCCTGGTTCCTTGTGGGCACTGGGCACCACGGGGAGGCTGACCTCTGACTCAGTCCCACCCCCCTAGATATTGATGAGTGCGTCTCCAGCCCCTGTGAGAATGGAGGCACCTGCATTGACGAGGTCAACACGTTCGTCTGCCTTTGCCTCCCCAGCTATGGGGGCAGCCTCTGCGAGAAAGGTGAGTCTCTTCCAAGACCCCGGAAATAATACCAAGGGTGGGGTTGGTTGCGGGGCCGCACGCGCTCCGCCCATGCTTCTGGTCTCCATCTCTGTTTCTCTGGCCATGGGTTGAACAGATGACAAATTGTTGTTTTGGGATAAAACTCACATAACATGGAATTAACCTTGGAGTGTACAATTCATTGGCATTTGGTACATTCACGATGTTGTGCAACCACCACCTCCAGCCATTTCCAAGACATTTTCATCACCCCGAAAGGGAATCCTGTATCCATGAGCAGTCACTCCCCATTCTCCTCCCTTGGCCCCGTCTCTATGGATTTGCCTGTTCTAGACGTTTCATATAAATGGAATCCTGCACTGTGTGTCATTTTGTGTCTGCCTTCTTTCACTCAGCATGATGTTTTCAACATTTATCTACATTGTCGTGTGAATCAGGGCTCCATTCCTTTTTATGGCTGAGTAATATTCCATTGTAGGGATTGACCACGTTCTCTTTATCTGTTCATCACTTGGTGGATATTTGGATTGTTTCCCCCTTGTGGTTAATGTGAATAGTGCTGCTGTGAACATTCACGTGTAAGTTTTCATTTGGACACTGGTTTCCTTTTTTCTCACCCCATTTTTTTGGTTATACCTGACTGGAATGGCTGGGTCACATGGCAATTCTGTGTTTAACGTTTTGACTGTTTCCCACAGTGGCTGCACCATTTTACATTCCCAATGGCAACGTACAAGAGTTCCAATTTCTCCACATCCTCGCCAACACTTATTATTTTCCTTTTTAAATTTTGGCCACCCTAATGGGTGTGAGATGGTGTCCCATGGTGGTTCTGATTTGCATTTCCTAATGACTAACGATGTTGAGCATCTTTTCATGTGTTTATTGGCCATTTGTATATCTCTTTGGGAGAAATGTCTATCCGAGCCTTTTGCCAGGAGAGAAATTTTAGGCCACCCTGAGATCCATTTCCTGAGTTCCCGGGGCCACACAGAGGGTGCAGCCAGATCAGAGAAGGAGACATCAGAGTTGGGATGAGAGGAGTGGGTGTAATGATCTCCAGTTGAATATCTTCCTGCAACAGAGAAAGAAATGAATATGGGAGGGGAGAGATGACCGGGGTGGGGGGGGCAGAGCCTCCGGGGAATGAGGACAGGAAGAGGGGTGATCTGGCCCCCCAGTGACCTTGGGTTTGGCCCTCTCTCTGGTACACTGGCTGTGCTCATGGTCAGCAGGGTGGGGCTTGGCCCAAGGCCAGTCTCCCTCACACTCCCATCCCACCTCCCAGACACAGAGGGCTGTGACCACGGCTGGCACAAGTTCCAAGGCCACTGCTACCGCTACTTTGCCCATCGACGGGCGTGGGAGGACGCCGAGAGGGACTGCCGCCGCCGGGCTGGCCACCTGACCAGCATCCACTCACCTGAGGAACACAGCTTCATTAACAGTAGGGACTTTGGGGTGGGCAGGATGGCCCTTTGCCAGTCCCTTTACTAGGGCATCCCCTAGGGTCCTGAAGATACCACCTTTCTGAAGCTGTGTTCATTAATGCAAGCCCTGACCCCTTTAATTCATGTGTCCATTTATCCACTTGTTATTTCATCTATTCACTTCATTCATTCATTCACCAAATGTTTACTGAGTATATGCCAGGCACCGTTCCAGGCGCTGGGACACAGCAGTGAGTATGACACAGATTGTCTTGTCCTCAGGGATTGACATTCTTGTGGGGGCTATAGGCAAACAAGTAAATACCTAATTACATAAGTCTAACTATAATTTAGCTGGTCCTAAGTGCACAAAAGACAAATAAAACAGAGCCAGGGGAGAGAGGGCAATGAAGAGGCATCTGGGATGTGGGGGATGAAATGAGGATGGAGCTCTGCAGAAATCTAGAAAAAGAACGTTGCATCAATTAAATCTGGCATTTATTGATTTATTCATTATCTCCGTGCCATTTGCTCATCCATCCAATTATTCACATTTCCCCCATCCCATCCCCTATTAATTCCTTCATTTGTTAATTCCCGGGTTCCCTCATTGTTGTTGTTTTCTCCCCCCTCAATGTAATCAAACACATGCTTACCCTTGATGACACTCAGTAACTAATGCCCTCACTTGGTCACCTGCCTGCCCTGTCCAGCCCCGCCTGCTGGCTCTCCTATCCCTTACTCTCCTTTTCTGCAAAGATCTGACGCGTCTCTGTTTATTCCTTCCTCTGGCTTTGTTTAAGCCACAAATCGTGGCAAGACTGGAGCCTAATTCCAGTCTTTTTCATGCCTCCCTCACCCTTCCATTCTCATCTGCGTGGGAAGCGAGGGGAGCGAGCCCACACAGAGGCTGGGGGAAAGACTGGGGGTCCTCCCTTCCCACACCTTCCACCACTCCTCCAGCCCACACCCGAGGCTGGGGGCGGGGTGGGAACTCAGCCCTCAGGATGCCCCACCTCACAGGCTTTGGGCGTGAAAACACATGGATCGGCCTGAATGACCGGATCGTGGAGAGGGATTTCCAGTGGACGGACAACACAGGGCTGGTGAGTGGCAGGAGCCAGGCTTGGGTCTCCCTAGAAAAGTGGGATGGGTATGAGCCACGTGGGCTCTGTGGTCTGGCCTGACTTTACCCCCTTGTGCAAATTCACCATAGGTCCTTGTGGGTCTGAGATTCTGGAGTTGGTTGGCAAAGGAGCTTCAGCAAAACCCCAGATCACCCTTGACTTCCCAACCCTGTAAACATCTGGTCTACCCAGTGGCTGAGGTTATAAACCTAGGACCAGGGCCTGAGGCCTCCTCTTGGTCACTGCCGTGTCCTTCAGCTGTGGACTCTAAGATATTCCCATTGCCCTACAGCCTCCCTTATCACTCACTGGGACCCCTGAAGCAGCCCCCAACCCCCTCCCCAACACGCACACTTGCTACCTACACTCCTGCCCTCCACCTGGCAGCCAGGGGAACTTTTTTAAAAAAAATGTGGTGAAATTCACATAAAATTAATCATTTTAAAGTTTTCTTTTTTACATTTTTTTTATTTAAGTCGTCTCCACACCCAACATGGGGCTCGAACTCATGACCCTGAAAGCAAGCGTCGCACGCTCTTCTGACTGAGCCAGCCAGGCGCCCCCCAAATTAATCATTTCAAAGTGTACAATTCAGTGGCATTTAGTACCTTCACAGTGTTGTGAAACCGTCACCTCAATCTACTTCCAGAATATTTTCATCACCCCAGAAGGAAAACCTATAAACATGGGACCCTCTAAAACTCATACATCAGATCAGGATTCTCCCTGCTTCAAGTCCTCTCACACTCCCAATTGTTGTCAAGATAAAAACCCACCTCTTCCTGCTGTAGAAAACAGTCCGGTGGTTCCTTAAAAAGTTAAAGTCAAACAGGATTGCCACATGACCCAGAAACTTCGCGCCTAGGTAGATACCCCAAAGAAGTGAAAGCAGATACTCAAACAGGTATTTGTAACCTCAGGTCCACAGCAGTACTATTCACAACAGCCAAACGGTGGCAACAACCCAAATGTCCATCAGCAGATGAATGGGTAAACAAAATGTGGTCCATCCGTACGATGGACACTATTCAGATGCAAAGCTGCTACGTGCTACAATGTGCATGAAACTTGAAAACATTATGCTCGATGAAACAAGCCAGACATAAAAGGCCACATATTGTATGACATATGATTCCATTTACATGAAATACCTAAAATAGGCAAATTCATAGAGACAGAACATAGATCAGTGGTTGCCTGGGGCTTGGGGCAGGACCAAATGGGGAGTGATTGCTAATAAGGACAGAGTTTTTGTCTGAAGGGGTGAAAAAGTACTGGGGATAGACAGTGGTGAGAGCTGTACAATGTTGGGAATCATATTAATGCCAATGAACTGGACACTTAAAAATGGCTAAAATGGTAAATTTTATGTGATATGTATTATACCTCAGTTTAAAAGAATCCATCTCAGGGCGCCTGGGTGGCTCAGTCGTTAAGCGTCTGCCTTCGGCTCAGGTCATGATCCCAGGGCCCTGGGATCGAGCCCCGCATCGGGCTCTCTGTTCCGCGGGAAGCGTGCTTCTCCCTCTCCCACTCCCCCTGCTTGTGTTCCCTCTCTCGCTGTCTCTCTCTGTCAAGTAAATAAATAAAATCTTAAAATAAAATAAAACAATCCATCTCCTCTACTGCAAGAACTGACCCTTGGCCACCCACCGACCACACCCCAACTCCATCTAGAAGCTCTGGCCGCACTGGCCTCTGTTCTATTCCTCAAACAGTAAAGCCCTGTGCTGCCCCTGGGCCTTTGCACTAGCTGTTCTCTCTGCTTGGAATTCTGTTCCCTGCCTGCATCATTTCTATCCTTGAGTCTTCAGCTGTCCCCTTGCCTCCTCAGGGAGTCCCTCCGGGACCTCTGTTCAACTATTTCTATTACAGTGACCCATGTGGAAAACAGACTGTCAGGGAGAAAGGAAGGAGGTAGGAGGGCCACGGAAGAGGGCACTGCCATCTCACAGCCAAAGGAGGAGTGACTCTGAGTGCAGTGGGGGCCACTGTCAGGCAGAATGGCGCCCATTGTGTAGATGGGAACACTGAGTCCTTAAAGTTTGAGTGGTCTGGCCAGAGGAGTCCTGCGCTAGGCAGTGACAGAGCCTTTGACCCCCTGCTCCCCATTCCTGCAGCAATATGAGAACTGGAGGGAGAACCAGCCTGACAATTTCTTCGCGGGCGGGGAGGACTGTGTGGTGATGGTTGCACACGAGAGCGGGCGCTGGAACGATGTTCCCTGCAACTACAACCTCCCGTATGTCTGTAAGAAGGGAACAGGTATGCTGCTCCTCGCCCCACCACTTCTCTTCTGCCTCTCACACTCACTGGTTCCTTGTTTTATTTCAGTTTGTAAATGTAAGTCAGCTCTGCCCACTTTTCACTATAGCACTGTGTGAGCGTGCCTGTTTTTCCCTACTTTTGCCAACTCTGTGTGTTCTCAAACTTTTTGTTCTTTGTTCATCTAAGTGGGGAAAAAGATAGTATCTACTTGTTATGGTCATTTGCATGTCTTTAAGGATGAGAATAACCAACTGTTCGTATGTCAATAAGCTATTTGTAGGTGTTTATTTTCCTGGGACCTGCTAGTTCATCTCCTCTGCATAACTATCTATAGGTTTGTTGGTCTTATTGATTTGTAAGAACTCTTTACATATTAAGAGAACACTTATAAGCATTCTCACGTCCACCTTTCTCTGATACTTTTGTTTATTCTTACTTATGTTTCTTTGCCAGTTTTCATGTACTTTCTTCTTTTCATTTGCTCAGATTTATTCTTGTCTCTCATCTGCTTCATTGCCATCATGCATAAGAATTGAGGAGGGTGGGATGTGTCCAGGAGGTTTCTGCCCCTAAGGAGCTCCTGGTTTGGATAGAGGAGACAGACACATGACAGACACATCTGGTCATGTGGGGTCACAGCTGGGCAAAGGGCAGGAATTGCTGAGGGGTATATTATTCTCCCAAAGAGAGGAAACCATTTCAGCCCAGATGTGGCCACTTCCCTAACTGGTGGTCCTTCTGTCTCCAGTACTGTGTGGTCCCCCTCCAGCAGTCCAGAACGCCTCACCCATCGGTGCTCGCAAGGCCAAGTATAACGTCCATGCCACTGTCCGGTATCAGTGTGATGAAGGATTTACCCAGCACCATGTGGCTGTCATCCGATGCCGGAGCAATGGCAAGTGGGACCAGCCCCAGATCATCTGCACCAAACGTAAGTGGCTGTCCCCAGACACCTCAGCACAGGTTTCCAGCTATTTGTAGTCTCCAATTAAAACACCTTACTACACATTTTGATCGGCCTGATAATACAGCCTTGCGGGTAAGTGAGAACTTACCATCCTGCCTGGTGTTTCCTTCATTTCTCCTCCCCCTGAGAAGGCCCGCTGCATCAGGCCACCCTCCTCTCAGCACCTCTTGCCACTTCCTTGTCCGCCCTCATTTCCCTGCAGCCAGACGGTCGCATCGGATGCGACGACACCATCACCACCACCAGCACCACCACCAGCATCACCACCACAAATCGCGCAAGGAACGCAGAAAACACAAGAAACACCCAGTGGAGGACTGGGAGAAGGAAGAAGGGAATTTCTGCTGAAGAACCAGGCAAAAGGAAGCACAACCCCTTTCCCACACCTTCTCTGGAGACTTCACCTGGGGAGACAGAGCCCAGAGAAAAACAAGAGGGTCTGGAATCCCCTGAGCCCCAAACCACATCCCCCCTCCATAACCCTTTGTAAAAAGCTCCTCTCTCCTCTTTCTTATATACACAAAGTCTGCTTGGCAGGCAAAGCCAGGTGTCTGAAAAGTCAGTTCTAGTCAGGCTGAACTCTGGGAGCATCTCCCAGTGAAGGGAAGCACATTATGGCAAAGATCATTCTTTGCACTGGTTAAGTCTTGTGTTGGCGAGGCTGACTACCACTTGTTGAAATAAGGCTTTGATGTGGGTGCAAGAGTGTCTGGATTCACACTAAGGAATTGCTTATCACACCAGACATGCAGGCTTAGTAAACCATCAGAGGTCCTAAATGCAGGCTGAAGCTTTTAGTTAAGGTCGTTGGCTTTGGGAGTTGAAAGCACACTACTTGAACTTGACAGTTGCTCTTCCTTCACCCTGGACTTCAGCCCAAGTTCTGTCTTTGGTCTTGGGGGAATAAATGGAGTGTGGAACTCCTATGTATTGAATTTTAGGAATGTTTTAGAACAACCTCCTTCTGTGCCCTCAGAGTTAGGGGTCAGAATAGTCAGAGCAATATATGGGCAATGGAGGGAAGGTGTATTGCTTACCCTCCCAGGTCGAGTCCAGTGCTGAGATTTGGTGGTTCTGTATGTGTGGTGAATCTCTCACACAGACGGATGAGAGGATGTTTAGGGCTTGATGAGCCCAGATTTCTTCCCCCTCCATCTCTCAGGGAGACAAAGAACCTCCTTCCTGGACCAAGGAGGTGCCAAGTTTTCTAGCTCAGTGCCCATACCCGTCCCTCAAGAGACATCGGTAGTGCCCCTGCCCTGGGTCCCGCTCCTACTCCTGCCCCATCCCTGTCTCCATTCATTGCCTGGAGGACTAGAAAACGCTTAAAACTTGAAGTAGTGACATCTACCTGCAGTTATGTTGTAGAGAAATGCACAGTGTTAAAACCGAAACACACACACATACACATGAACACACACACACACACACACATTTTTCTCTCATCATTTTTAAAAATCTTTTAAGTGGGAAAGAACTGACTAAATCTGTTCCCCCAAATCTGCAACCTATAAAAGAACTTTCCAGGCCAAAGGCCAGGATTCAGCTCCTTGATCTCTGGCAGGAAGAACCTACAGCTTATCCTCTATATTTTGTCCACTCTCAACTTCTCTACTCTGGGCAAAATCTGTGGATTTGTGTTAAAAACACAACAATGGGGAATGGCCCTCTGCAGGAAAGAAAAATAAGCAAACATATGGTTCAAGGGTTCAGTAGAGAAAGAAATGTGTTCATTGAGCCTATGTTCCTCCTGGGAAGTAATAATCATAGTTGACAACTATGGAGTCTATACTGTGCTAAGGACTCACACACTATCTCCTTGAATCTTCTCAACAGCCCGGTGATTTTGGAACCATTATTTCCCCATTTTACACATGACAAAACTGAGGCTCAGATAAGAGAAAGGCACTGGTTTGAAGTCACAGCCAAGACAGGAGCAAGGATTTTGTCCCTTCTCTGTGACTCCAAACACTGCTCTTTACTTTGGGGGAAAGGGTTGAAACATAATCGCACTCTCTCACATCCACAGGCAGACTTAGGAAAAGATTGAGAAGTGCAAGGTAGACCCTTATCTTTGACCATGGTCATCAGTCTTCCCTGCTACAGACATTATCCACTGTTCCACCTTACAGTTATAGAGAAAGCCCAGGGATGTACATTTGCCTTCTTGCTTTGATAATTTTTTTTGGTTTAAAAAATATAATAACACATCTTCAGTAATTCATGTCATAAAATGATTTTCCTTTGGGGGTGGTGCTGGGGATGCAACTTTTTTGGGGGGTCTTGGTTTATGCTCCCTGCCCTTGGCCCCCTTAGTCCCTTGCTCTGCCTCCACCCCAGCTCCATGGTGGGAGGGGGCTCTGGTCTTTTCTAAAGTGGGTGGTTTGTCTTTTAGTCTTTCCCTTGGGGATGTGCGTGTGTGTTTGCGTGTGCCACGTACGTGGCATGCGTGTGAGTCTGTGTGCGTGTGAACAGCTTCAGGTTCTGCTGGTTTTGCTGTGAGCTGCAGTGTTCTGTGGGTCTGTGGTATCTGACACTGTGGACATTAATGTACTTCTTGGACATTTTAATAAAATTTTTTAACAGTTCAACCTGCCTGTCACCTCCTGAGACCTTTCTTCATTTATTCACTCAGCAAGTACTTACTGAGCAACTGTTATGAGCCGTATACTATGTTGGGTGCTGGAAAGATAATGGTGAACAAGACAGACATGGCCCCTGGGAGGTGGTCAAGGAAGGCTTCCTTGAGGAGGTGGATGGAATCTAAAGGAGGAGTAGTGTTAACTAGATGAGAAGAGGAAGAAATGAAGACAATTGCAGGCAGAGGGAAGAGCAAAGGCAAATATCCTCTTGCAGAAAGGACATGCTTTATTTGAGAAACAGCAAGGAATCTGTAGGGGCTGGAGCAGAGTGATAGAGGTAGATAATGGAAGGAAATGAGCTCAGAGACCAGAGGATGGACCACTCAGGGCCATAGAGGCTGTAGTGAGGAGTTTAGGCTTTTTTAAAAAAGCAATAATGGCAAAAACAAAAAGCAAAACAAAACAAAAAATATAAACAAGGTCAAAAGGTAAATGCCAAGCTTGGGAACAATTTTTCAAATCAGAGATAGAGGACTTGTCTTAATACATAAAGAGCTCCTACAAACTAATGGGGGGAAAAGACTAATAATCCAATAGCCAAATAAGCAAAGGATATGAATAAAAAGTTGACAGAAAAGGAAATACAGATGCTCTTAAACTACAACATATACTCAACAAAATAATACACATTTTGCAAGGACACCAGGATGAACAAGGAGCATATTTAAAAAAGAGAATTGAATAAATTTAACAAGAGAGGGGACTTGCATTGATCAATGATGACAACATACCCAAACCGCGAATGATTTATGACTTCCTGACCCACCTGCACCTAAGGTCAAAGTGGGGATGTTTGTTCAGCCTCACACATAATAAGAGAATTACAAGTGACAACCACAATGAAATACCTTTTTTTTTTAACCTATCAGGTTGGCTAAAATAAAAAGTGATAACACACGATGCTGATTAGGATGTGTGGAAAGAGACAGGTACATCTATTACTGGTGGGGTATAAATTGGCCCCACCTCTGAGAAGAGGTAGAGATCACTATCAAAATGACCAGTTTGACTCCTTGATTAAACAACTCTTGATATCATACTTGCACTTGTGTGAGGTGATGTGAGCACTTATTATTAACAGCAAAATAGGGGTATCTAAACATCTGCCATTAGGAGATGGGCTACAGGGCGCCTGGGTGGCTCAGTTGGTTAAGCGACTGCCTTCGGCTCAGGTCATGATCCCGGAGTCCTGGGATCAAGTCCCGCATCGGGCTCCCTGCTCAGCAGGGAGTCTGCTTCTCCCTCTGACCCTTCCCCTTTTAATGCTCTCTCTCTCTCTCATTCTCTCTCTCAAATAAATAAATAAAATCTTTAAATAAAAAAATTTAAAAAATTTTTAAAAAAGGAGATGGGCTACAAAATCTATGGTGCATCCAAACAATGAATACTCTGCCAAACTTCAAAAGAATGTGGGGGTGGGGGATCTTTATATGGTGATTGAAACTATCTCAAAAATACAGTATTAAGTAAAAGAAGAGTGACTTTAAAAGTAAACATGGCACATGAATGTTCCTAACAGCAGTATTCACAATCACCAAAAGGTGGAAAAACCCAAATGTCCATTAACTGATGAATGAATAAACAAAATGTGGTATATACATACCACAGAATATTGTGCAGCCATAAAAAGGAATAAAGTCTTGATACATGTCACAACATGCATGAACCTCAAAAACATTATGCTGAGTGAAAGAAGCCAGACAGACACAAATGACACATATTATAAGATTCCATTTATTTATGTATTTATTGAGCGTGAGAGTGAGCAGGGAGGAGGGGCAGAGGGAGAGGGAGAGAGAGAATCTCAAGCAGGCTCCACGCCCAGCTTGGAGCCAATGCAGGTTTCCATACCACCACCTGAAAACACAACCAGAGCGGGGAATCAAGAGTCTAAAACAAAACAAAACAAAACAAAAACAAAAAACCCAAACGACTGAGCCACCCAGGTGCCCCCATATTATTCTATTTATATGAAACATCAAGAATAGGCAAATCTATAGAGACAGAAAGTAGATGAGCGTTGCCAGGGCAGAGGGGAGGGGGAAGGGAAGAATGGGGTGCGTTTGCTTAATGGGTATGGTGTTTCCTTTGGGGATGATAAAAATGTCTTGGAACTAGATAGATATGCTACAACAGTGTGAGTTGTGTAAATGCCATTTGTGTAAAAATAGGGGGAAATACATATGCGTGTTTGCTTGAATGAACATAAAACATCTCTGGAAGGGCTTGTAAGAAACTTTGGATGTTTCTGGACAGTGAACTGGGTGGTGTAGGATGGGAAAGAGCGATTTTTCGGAATATCTGGCGTCAGGAAGGACTCTATCCAGGTTGCCATCCCTTAGCTCTCCTTCAGGTGGGCCCTGGAGACCTCCACTCCAACAATGAAGCGACTCCAGCAGAAGGAAGGTTCCCTTGGCCCAACTGGTTCTCCAAAATCCCAGGGACTCAGTCACACGGTCCACCCGTCTCCCTATCCCTCCTTAAACCAATCAGGTTTTCCCAGGAGGGTGCCACAGCATTCATTGGCTGAACTGGAAGGGGGTGGTGTCAGCCCCTCTGACTCTCATTGTACGAGTGGTAGTTAAAAAGTTACATATTCATGAAAAAAAACTAGGAAACTGGAACCACGGAAGGGAGAGAGGATGCCAGCCGGGAAAAGGCGGGGTGAAAGAAAATCCCATGCACTCATCCCTGGAAATATGCCCCTACCATCCCCCTATTCAAGGAAGTGAAGGCCCAGCTGGGGCCCAAGGCAGTCTAACCAAGGGGCTGGGCCCTGCCTTCAGACGAGTGGTTTGAGTCTCTAGGAGCTCTGTCACATCTGGTATTGAAGGATGAGTGGTAACATCGACTATCTCACGTCTACAGCCTCATCACTTTTACATGTTTTTCTCTTCTCCCTTTGCTTGTATCCCAGAAACTTTCAATGTTTCTCCGTCCACTATCCCCCCCACCCCAAC